CACCATGTTATGTCAGTTTATTTTTACATAATGCCAGCTGTGGTTCGGCTGCAATTAGTGGAACGCTGAGAGGCTGAGTAGATTTGTCAGACTTTTAGGGGAGCAGACGCTTGCACTGGTATGCAGTATCATTCTGAGATGGATTCCAGACTGAGGTTTTTGGCATAGAGATGGAGCCTTGCTCTGTTTCTTCTGATAAATGCAAATTTTCCTCTGGGTTCCACAGCAAAATAAAAAGTCTTCCTCTTTGATATTAATACCATCCCCTCATGACCTCTGTAGCACCGTGTTAGACGTGAAGACTTTGGGTGGCATTTACTGGTTCAAAGGTTCTCTGTGTAATTGATCAGTGGGCTGTTTGATCTGTCGCTTCTGCTGGCATTTTAGTCTCGTTATAAAAAAAAAAAAAGTGCTTTTGTGCTCTGTCAGGGATTCATTTATCCATGGCTGCCACCTACTGATGTTTGTTTTGAAAGAATTGAACACATAATGAGATCTTTGCTTCCCCTCCAACCTTGGCTTCTGTCTGTTCATATTCATATTAGCATAATGAATCTGTGTAGAAGAAAAGGTAAATACATAAAGCAACGCAGCAACATTTTTTTAAAATGTTGCTGTCAATCTGATATTTGTTTGAATATTAAATTTGAGCTCAAACCTTTCGTTTCTCTTCCACTGATGAGTTTTTCCACTAGAGGACCCAAACAAAATGGAAGACATTTTGCAAAGACAAAATGCGTTTTCTTTAAAAGTACCTATATATGAGTTTTTAGTTGTTTTTTTAAACTTGACTAAGAATCACTTAAGAGGGAGCTGTAGTTATTTTTATTTTAAAGTAAAGGTAAGAAAAACATCAAATGTCTCCCAGTTTGACGCTTCTTTTCATCAGTTGCTGGAAAAAAATATGCTCAGTGTTGCAAATAGAAAAATAGGACATATGCAAAACAGCTCAGTGTCACATCAAAACAAAAGAATAAAATGCAAGGAAGATAACAATGTAAACATACAAGGGCTTTGCATGGAGCTTTTTAAGTAAAACTAGCTTTGTGCAGACAGAGGATAGTGTACAAAGCTGGTTGTTGTGCACAATGAACCAATGACAGAATTAACTTAAAGTCATTGTGTCAGCCGGATGTTTGTCACTACAAGGATGAGTACGTTTAAATATGAGTCCTTATATGCACGTTAAATTAAAGTTTAGAGCTGCTAAATAGTTCTGCAGAGATAATTATTGTAGCTCTCTGATATCAAAGTGGAGCAGTTGGGAACAAGAGTAACTAGGCCAAGTGGCGGCATCAGTGCACGGAGGTTACCTGCTTTGTTTCAAAGCAAGAGGCTGCCGACTTCCAAATCTAATGCAACCTCTAGATAAGGTCAATAATTGTTTGAAGATAGCATTATATAATGTTCTTTTATGAATGTTGAGCTGAAAATTTAAAACATATGATCTGCTTTTCTGTTTGTACCTGTGACATAAAGACACATTATTGATGTATCAGCATCACATTGCTGTTCTTGTCTCTGCTGCACTAACAAACCCACAGCTGGACTGTTCTCCCTGCTACTTTTCCAGCAGAAACTGTTCAGTAGCAGTGCGCCTCTCCTGCACTGAAGGTTTCTCAGGTTGCTACTGTCTTTCATCGGTGAATGTAGTCCTATTTAATCTTGGAGAGAGGGCTCTGTGTGGGTCTCCATGTTTACTTCTCTCTACAAGTTTGCTCATAAAAAATTAGTGAAAATAAGGTATCTTAACAAGCACTAACTGCTCTTAACTGTAGAAAGCTTTTAAATAATTAAAAAAATCTATTGCATTTATTTATAAAAAAAACAAAACAAGTATACAGTTTAATGCTGATGTTGCCTAACTTGGAAGGGTTTGTAGGTGAATGTGACATGGGTTTATTTAAGATGAGCTTTTTATAGAACATTATAATAATTGTATTGTTTTATTTTATGTTTCTGCAGTAACCTAACCGGTTAGTCTATAGTAATGAATACCATCAGTGTTTTCCAGTAACTGTTGGGTGGAAGAACCTGCTGATGTGACTTTGTGAAATGGAAGCTATAAAACTGATTGTACATTTACAATTCCAGAGGACATATTTTTCAGCATATCAGATAAAAGAAGATGCTCTGATCAGATGAGACTAAACAGGTCTAAATGCAAAACGCGGTGTATTGGGGAAACTATGACTATACATTGCCCTGAATACAACCGCTGATGGTTTAATGATTCTAGTAGCTTCATGCTGTAGGGAGGCTTTTTAGCAAACAAGGTCAGCTTTCAAAGCATATATAGGGAGTACATAGAAATAGGAAGGCAGGTGGAGCTCATTACAGATATGGTTTTTGAATAAAGGCCCCACATCCTAAATAAACAGAGTTACAATCACACAGAAATTACCCAAACAGGCACCTCGTTCTGGAGCTGTAATATGAAAAAATATGAAAGGGTTAAATGAGTACAACTAGAAGATAAAACATGATTGTCACTGACTAATACCGAACCCTGTAGTTTGCACATAAAATGAAACGATTTGCAAGATTGTCTGATACATTATGGAAAGCTCATTTCTTTGGCAAATTAAGTTTTTCTTTCCTTTCTGTCTTGTCTGGTTAAAGGGGAATGCCGTTTTTGTTATATTGGGCCCTTGATTTTACATTTTTACATCAGGTTCTACTCACCGATATGAGTTTTGTAAAAGATATAAATATAAAAAATATAACCGTGGATGTCTGGGGGACAGTGTTTCGCCTACATGTTATGAATGCTGGCGTACCATAAAGAATAAATGATAAACAATTTTACTTATTTAAGTCACTTGCCCATAGGAAGAAGCTACTTGGATATTTCCCAACAGAATATCTTTAGAACAGCTCCAAATGACACAAAACTCATATGGGTGAGTAGAACATGATGTAATAAAGTAAAATCAAGGGCCCGATGTAAAAAAAAAAAAAAAAAAAAACGGTGTTCCCCTTTAAGTCATACCACTCATTATACACAGATTTCCAAGCAGTTATTAAACTGTTTCAATTCCTCTGGCTGGATGTCTTTTTCTGCGTCAAATTTAGCCTTTGAGAACAGCTAGCCCTGAGAGGAGCAACAGCAGTAAAGCTTTCATGCTGTTTGCACTTGACTGCCTGCAAAGCTGCTGTAATGCACCTCCCAAAAAAATTACCAACAACTGAATGGTTTTACTTCTCCACCGTCTTTCACACCCACTGTTGCCTCCATCCCTCAGCCTCCTAACCCTTGTCTTTCACAGTATCCTTACATTTCCATATCTTCCCTCAGCCTTCAGACTTTCTCCTGCCTCCCACCATGACCTGTTGTCAGAGCCTCTGAGAATCTCTCAGCTCTCGTGATGCTTGAGGGTTGTTCAAGTTGCCAGCTGCAGCATTAATGATTGTACCCACCCCACCCCCCTCAAAGAAAAAAAGGAAATACAGTTGGCATTTTTCAATATGACATTGCTTACCACTGGGTTTTCTTTGTTAAACATGTTCTTGAGTCTGTGTCCAAGTTTGTCTAAAATTGATCTGAATTTATTTTCTAAGGCACCCAAAGAGAGATGGTTTTGCATCTCTGCAGTGTTTTAATTTGTTTAGTGTGCATGACTACTGTGTTGCTGCACGTTCTGGAAAGACATAGCAATTATCATCATGTCCTCCACTGCATCCCCACAATAATCAATCAATGTGATTTAATTATACGATTCACCAAAAAATCCATCTTATCTGACCAAATGCTCAGGTTGGAGTGATGGCGGCTAGCTTAATAGGTAGCTTTTTAGAGAGGGATTTTCCATGCCATGAAGAAGTGTTCCATTGCCTTAAACTTTCACACATGTTGTCAAATTAAAACCACAGATATTAAACAGACATTTTGCAAGTTTTTACTTATTTGACCCTTCATGACTAAAACATTGTTTGATGATCAGACTGATAACACAGGCGTTAACGCTGATTCATCTATAAACCTGTAGCCTATTCCTAAATGTTTTAATGGGGGGGGGCGTGGGGGAGTTTCCACTCCTACTATTTGCCGGATGTGACGTCGAGAGCGTCCGTGGTAAAAGAATCAGATCTAGCAAACAAATGAAGCGTTATATTCAAGTTGGATTTTGTGAATGCTGAAAACAGCTGTAGGTATAGTGAAGGAAGCAAAAAAAAAAAAAAAACTTGCTACGTGAAATGAGAGCTACGAGAACGTGCAGAAGATAACTGCAGTTCTGTGTTTTAGCCACAGGTGGCAGCATTATTGGAAAACTCTGCAATGCCTTTTTAATGTATCTTACAGGCAAATAAAGAATTAGATAATTGATTATTTAGTTATTAGATAATTATTTAGATATTTTTTAGATAATAATCTGGAGAGTGTCCCATCCATTTGATCTCACATACTATAAGGCAACCATCTGCCCTTAAACATGCTGTAAAACAGGTCACTGTGCCCATCATGCTGTGAACTTTTTGTTTTAGCAGGGGAAGCTGGTTGGAGTTGATCAGTAGATGTGCAGACTAAAATATGCAGTAAAATCCTGGTAACAGACTTATTAGATCCTGCTAAAGACTTAAAACAGGGGTAGAGATTCACCTGTTAAAATGGAAAAGTCCAGACCAGAATTCAGTTCAGTTTCCTTTCTGCAGAAACATGGTACATCTGCATCCAGTCTGACTTGTTTTGTAAACGGCATTGGGAGTATATTTCTGTCACTAGAAACTCACAGCTCTAGCACCAAAAATAAAGTTCAACAATTATTGTCTCAACTGAGGTATCTATAAAATGATTAAATAACATGTATCAATTTCTTTCCTCTGCATCTTCCAGTTTGGGTTCCTCTGTCACTTAAAATCCTGTCAAAGTGTAATAAAAATTGCAGTTTTAATGAAACATAATTTGAAATAATTCAAGGAGTACAAACACTTTTCAAGGTACATCTGTGGTTCTGTCTACTATGACTCACCCCCTGTTTTTCTCTCAATGTTCCCTGCAGATATTGACGACTGCCAGTCTAACCCTTGCCAGAACGGCGGAACCTGCATCGATGAAATCAACTCCTTTGTGTGTCTTTGTCTGCCCAGCTACGGTGGAGCTACGTGTGAAAAAGGTAACGCTGCAACAAGCAAACTTCCTTTTTATTTTGTTACTCGGCGCCAGGAAAACAAAAAGATGGGAATAAAAAGGCGTACATGATGGAGGAGTAGTAAATAATTGGGAGCAGAGCAAGGTGGTTGGAAAATGAGTTTAAAAAAAGAAATATGCACAGAAAAATCAGATAAAGAAGCTCCAGATACAAGGTGGTGAAGAGAAGTTAAAGAACAGGAAAAAATGGGGTGGATGCCGATAATTATGTGGCACAGGAAAGTAGGAACATGTTTAAAGAAAGTGGAAAACACAAGACTGAGACAGAAGTTTAATGAGGGTATTTGAAGGGAGAAAACGGGAGGGAGAGAGCAAGAAAATGAGAGGGGGAGGAGAAATAAATATAGGAAAGCCCTCAGAGATAATAGAATGGATTTAAAGAGAACACCTGCGTCCAGATGGTTTGCTTTTCCATGAGGGGAATTTCTGTTTTATGGAAATGACTGAAATCCCATGTGAGAAGAGGGCGGTAAAGGGGACTGTTCTCTACCTGGAGGTCAAATAGAAACATGGCTGACATGATTAGTACAAGGTTGCACAGAGGAAAGCCCATTGTGCCTTTGTTTTGATAATATTCATTCAGAACTCTTTTTTTTTTAAATTTGTTTCCTTCCAACGACCGATAGAAAAATGTTGCTTAAACTGACATAAATTAGAACTGATATACACTACCTTCAAAAGTTTGGGGTTTTCCTGAAAAGTCACACTTATTTCCCACCATATGTTGTGGAATGAATAGAAAATTGAATCAAGACATTGACAAGGTTAGAAATAATGACTTGTTTTTGAAATAAGATTGTTTTTACATCAAACTTTGCTTTCGTCAAAGAATCCTCCATTTGCAGCAATTACAGCATTGCAGACCTTTGGCATTCTAGCTGTTAATTTGTTGAGGTAATCTGGAGAAATTGCACCCCACCCTTCCAGAAGCAGCTCCCACCAGTTGGATTGGTTGGATGGGCACTTCTTGCGTACCATACAGTCAAGCTGCTCCCACAACAGCTCAAATCTCCCACCTTTCCAGCACCAAAGCAGCCCCAGACCATCACATTACCTCCACCATGCTTAACAGATGGCACCAGGCATTCTTCCAGCATCTTTTCATTTTTTCTGTGTCTCACAAACGTTCTTCTTTGTGATCCAAACACCTCAAACT